ATCCTTTGGAAAATGGCCTTCAGGGACAGCAGGAAGTATACTGGTTAAGGCCCTGGATTCCTACATGACTGACAATGGTTCAAGTCCTGGACCTGGGTGCTTGAAACTCACGTTGGGTGTGTGTGTGTGTGTGTGCCCAATATCCTGAGAGAAGAAGGAAGAGGAAGGGATTGTGGCATGATCATCCCTTGGAGGGGAAGGAGATTTCTTAATCAAATCCAAAGGATGCTTAGATTTTGGAGTTGCCAGATACAAAACTGGGTAGTATTAAGGGACAAGGCTGAAATGGGGCTTTGGCTAAAAGTAAGTATATGAAATATTCATTTTATCTATTGTCTTCCACATTTTAGATTTGGAAACAGATGCCCATTCTGTAGAGGAAAACTGAGAGTGTCAAGAAAAAGATGATTTCTAAGACCAAAGTAAATCTTCAGACAGTGACAAATATGGCATCCAGAAAATAAGAATGGGATGTTGGATCTCTCAGCTAAAAGGGAGTTTTGGAAGCAAAATGAAGAATTAAAAGAGGCAATTTTAAAAAAAAAATAATACTAGAGAAAACCCCAGAAGCAATAAACACATGTTGTTAGATTGAAAATTCTCACTGTATCCAACATACTGAATTTTAAAATTATTCATTATTTGTTTTTTATACATTCAACCATTGTCTATCGTTACAGCTTATAAAATGAATTTTCCCAGCATGAATACACTTTATATTAGTCCCGTTAAAGGTATTATCATACACATTATTATCAACAGATTGTTTTCCATTTTTATGTCCCTTAACTATTTTGCTTCTTTTCCCCCTTGATTCTCTTCCTCTATTTTTAAAAAGAACCTGGACTGGCCAGGTAGCACAGGGGGTAAAATTGTGAGATCCCACATGGCCAAACATGGTTCAAATCCTGGACCCAGCTGCTTGAAACACACTCTAAGAGTGTGTGTGTGTGTGTGTGTGTGTGTGTGTGTGTGTGTCCAAAATCCTGAAGTGATGGAGAAATGGAGAAAAAGGACTATGCCATGATCATACACTTTCTCTGTCTCTTTGTCTCTCTCTCATACAGGTGCCCTTCTGACAATTATAATTAATTAATTAATTAAAATTTTTAAGACCTAGGACACATTGTTAGAATATACAACACCAAATTTGAATACAACATATAAGAAAATACAGGTTAACTACGAAAGAATAAGAACTCTGCTCAAGGGCAGTAGATCACAACCTACAAAAATATGAGGAATAGAACTAGCAGGAATAGAACTAGGCATAGTGGGTAAGGCTGGACTCCCACATGGTCGACCATGGTTCAAGTACTAGATCCGACGGCTTGAAACTAACACCAGGTGTATATGTGCGCGTGCCCAAAATCTTGAGAGAAGAATAGGTTGTGGTGTGGCCATCCTTCTCGGGGGGTGATTTCTCACGTTCTGTCTCTCTGTCTCTCCACTGAGCATGCACT